TTGGCATCTTCTCGGCCCGCGGTAGCCGTGGAAGAAGTGTGGTGCGAAGCGTCCGAATATGTGGAGAGGTTGGAAGAAGCGGATGACCAGCGGTCATGAGTTCGTGTCATACCAGCTTCTGGACCAAGAACAAGTATGTTAGGAACATTCGGCTCGTCCGCTGGTGAGAACTCTTCGCGATCGTCAAAAATTGTAGTCGGCGTCTCTGGCTGGATTGGCGTCGCCCGTCGCGAGGAGATGGCAGAATGATACGATTGGTTTACACTGGAAGACCGTCCAGACCGGTCCGAATACGCAGCCTGGGATCGATGTGTCACAGAACTCCGGCCGACCGAAAAGGCATACTGGGTCGGTCGTGGGGTGCCGCGGTCCGGTCGTACTTGTGTCCAGCCTTCACGAAACAAGTCGCACAACTCCCAACATGCCTGTATGGCCGAACCTAGTAGCTCCTCGTCGGCGGGCTTGCCATCTCGGCTGTTTTGGCGGAGGCTGAATAGCATTTCTGCCAAAGACCAGCATGCGTGCAGCAATGAGTCCGTCTCTTCTGGAAGAGAAGTCCGCTGCTTCATCAGGCGATGACATAGCGTCAAGTAGAAATCCAGTGTGCGTTCACGGAATGTTTCCGGTAGTGTGCGATCGTGTGCGTTGTAGAGATGGTTGTTCAGCTCGAAGCTGACTCTGAGCACCGAGTCTGAAGCTTCATCGCCGCGTTGGCGAACATCAAACAGTGCTTGACAAAAGTCTCGGCAAAGCTCCAGCGTGGGCCGGATCTGCGTGGAAGGGTTCTCTTCTCTGCTCTCGTAAAGTTTCTGGCAAAGTCGCCAGCATGTTCTCCAAGCATGCTCTTGCATATCAGGACTCCCACCGGAGTAGTGGAACATGCGTGTTCGGTGATGCTGGCTAAGTTTGGCCAGCGAGTTGCAGAGTATCCAGCATTCGTCCAGTGCACTTCTCAAGGCAGCGACTTCCTTTTCTGATTCATGGATACCGTGAATGGCCTGGCCCATTGTTTGTGTGCCAATCGACATGGATTCGCCGTCTTGCGATTGTGATGACTGGCTGTCATCCTGTTCGATGACGGAGCTCGCAGAAGATTCGACGGCAGCATGGTCTTCGTACTCGGCAATATCTATGCACGTTAGCATGTGATGGGTACAAGGCTCGACGAGACATACCAGCGAGATTGATGCTTTTGCGAACGCTGCGTCGTCTAAGGTCTTCCTCGAAATCTTGTCTTGTCTGCGCACGCGGCGTGCTGCGGTCTGCAACCGAGTTTGACACGGCGGTATCAATTGGGGTTGTGTGAGCAGACGCTGTTTGCTTGTCTTCAACATCGGGAAGCATGTTGGCTTCTGGCGTCGATGGCGATTCAACCGCGGTATGATCCGACGTGTTTGCGCTCGACGACGCGCCGGACGTGCTCATCCGGCTCTGGCTTGCACGTCAGCCATGCAGTGCAACCGCGATAGGAATGAGACTCACAAACTGTTTGAAGCTGTCGGGCGCATGGATGACAGATGGGGGAGCATCGTCCGAGTCTGCCCTTCGCACGGCGGTGTTGAGCTTGTGGGTATGGGGCTGTCACAGGTTAGGTGACTGGGTGAAGGGGTGACGATGGATGTGTTGACATGATATCATACCTTTGTCTGGCCGTCCTGGCTCGCCGGGCTCACAATGTCGTCAGTGCCCGGCGATCTAATGTCGCTCATGCCATCCTCGCTCGGGTGGTTCTCTTGGGCATCCTCTTCGATCTGTAGTGGGGTCAGCCCCGCGTGTTCCACATGCGGCCACGACATGATTCACCTCAGTATGGTCGGTATGGCTCGTGCCGTTGCTGTCAACGGGCGAGGGGTCTACGGAAGCCGGATACGGGCTCGGTGGTGGTTGGAGATGGTCCGACGTGTGACCCGAGGATCTTGGGGAGTCCATGTTAGCCCGCAGTCCCCAATGCTCTCCAGACGAGGGCGTCGCACCTATTTGAGAAGACATGGGCAAAGGTGCCCGGCGAGCTGGGCGAGTCCGTGTAGGGGCTGAATGCCGACATGGACTTTAGGCCACTCGGTGACGGCATGAGCTGCGTCGCGGTTGCCATGCCTCACGCTGCTCTGGAGGAGGGCACAACAGATGCTGCGCCAGAGCTGCGCCGGATCTGCGCTGTTGTGGGCGGGGGACACGAGGGAACAAAAAAAGAGGCCCGTCTCCAGATCGGCTGCCTATCACTCCAGACGACAATGTTGGCGAGGCTGAGCGGCGAGTCACGAATCAGAAGGGGGGGTGGGCGGGCGGGCGACGAGAGCGCTTGCGTCTATGGGAAAGAAGGACGGGACGAGGCTTATCAGAGCAGACCAGCTGCCGGGAAGAGGCTCAAGGTACGGCGTCGGCGTGTAAAGTGGTGTCGTTGTTTCAACACAGCGACTCTGCCTCGGTGGAGACTCTCAGCACAGGCGGCGTCAAGCTGGTGTACCCAGCAGCGAACATGCTCGCCCGACCGTGCACCATGGCCCGCTTACAACACCTGTCCGTTCACCACCACCCCTTGGCGCCGCAGACGAATCGCCGCCCGGGGAGCTGCTAAGCTCCAGGGATGAACTGCAGATTAAGCGCCCAGGGCCACGCTAGATTGCGGGCATGCTCAGCGATCCCGCGCCGTGCGTGCCAGAGACACGACACTGGATCCTCTAGAACAGCCATCGCTGGGAACCTGGGTCCATGTGCCGTCTAACGGTGCGAACACCTTCGCTATACTCTACTACTCTGATGCCGTCCCGGACAGAACAGACGGCTGCGGCACCCTCCAGAGCCTAGGTAAGCACTCCCTTGGCATCGTCTATTCACCCAGCATTAGTTCCTCGCATGGCGAACGTTGCTGCAGAAGACTAGGGCCAGGCCTCCATGAGACGCTAATGCACCCTCCCCCAAAAGGCTCTATCAGCTGCGCTGAGACAGCAGCAGTGTGTGCGGCACAGCCAATATGCCCGTCTAGCCGTTTGCTCTGTCTCCAGTTCCGGCCCCATCGACAATCGACGTGGCCGACTTGCATCAAATGGATGCCTCAATGGTGTGATGAATTCCTCCTCGCAACGGTCCGTCGACACATGGCATCTCAAGAGCCTCTTCTTGCTATATCTGTAGGATCGTCATCGGTATCACATATCCGCTAGCTCATCTCCGGATTCTACAAGCGTGTCAGCGTCTCCGGTTACCGTCTGCTCGGATGCTTAGATTGGCCAATTGCATCTCCAACTTTTTGACTTGCACACGAAAGCACAGAATTTTCCCTTACTCCAACCTACCACAGTTCACGCCGCGCAAGTCTCCAATATTTTACGCTGGTCTGACCTACTGGCCTACAGGCAGCCACCTTGTCCGTCTTCACAAACACACGAGCTGCCCTTCTGCGTGCGACCTGCGCCGCTCCCGCGTTTGACATTAGCCGCGCCCAAGGCGGCTTGCCAATAAGCGCCGTGGAGCACAGGTCTTTCTCTCGGTCTTTGTATGACCGACAGGCACAGAACAATCTCCCAGATGACTGACAGGAGGCTGCAGCTTCGGCTTGCATGACTCCCTGCACACACCTTAGTGACCGATGTGAATGTGTCCTTGAGACCAATTGTACCCAATCTGGATTCTGTGGGTGATACCAAAACCAACATCATAAGGCACGCTACGTTGGTCTACTAGTGGTAGTCTTCCTTCGAGGAAGGTGTCAAACATACCTGGTGTCCCACTCGCGTTGATAACTTTGCGTAGACATCCAACCGAAGCAACCCCGCTCTCACGTTATCGGCGCTTACTCCCACCGTCTCTTTGGCAAGCATCTCCACCACCAACGGTACCCTCCTAAACTGGTTCGGGTACTGGCATCCAGATAGCTCCAAGCATTCAAGATCATAACAAAGGGCGGCCTGAAAGCGATCCCGGCTAGCGACAGCCACGCGACATCCCAGCGTGCCGGTACGATCACTACCCGAAAAGCTGACGTTTTTTTTTTGTTCTTCACCATTGTCAATTCCCTAAACAGGAAAACGAGCATACAAGCGAGGTCCACCAACAATGGCATGGTAACAGACATCTCGATCTTAAACTGCTTTGTCATCGAGTGTTGCAATGACCTCCAACAAGCGGGGTTCGCCCTACCAACAGCTACACTGCCTTGCGGTTCTTGTTTTTTCATGTCAGGCCAGACCGTCTTTGCAGACTCTTACCGTTCAGAAGATCATGCGAATCACGATGAAGAGATCTGAAGCCACCGCACTTTCCATGACGCTGCTCATAGCATGAAATCTCCGAGGGGCTCAGCTATTTAGGAACACTCCCTCCCGTTCCGGGCGCTTCTGCAATCCATAGAATGTGCTTTTCGGGTGATCGTCAGCCCTAAAAAAGCACATCGACGCCTCAGAATCAGAGATACTGTTTGTTGCAGTCTGCCTTAGACAAGCACAGTGTATGTACAGCCTCGTGCGACTGGCGCTGTGCGGCATCATGGGGGTTCAATGTTTCACTACGTCTTGAACGTACGCCTCTGTGTAGGTGATCACCAAACAATGCATGGAAGCCGATGTCATGTGTCGCGTAATAGCACTGGGTCTTGCAATACACCACTGCCAGTCGTAGCTTCCTCGACGCATTCACCCTATACAAGAGAAAAATCGAACAGGTAGAGATAGTAAACTTTACTTTGCAGCTTACATTAGCTCCTAACAAGAGAGATTATAGGGATTAATAGTATTGTAGGCTTCTAGGTTCTCTATGTATGTCTATATAGCTCTAACACGCTTTATTGTAGTAGGAAGAAGTACTCTGCTTAAATGAGATATTTAGTTTCTCTCTTTGGCGTAGTGCATTCACTAACAAAACTCTTGCGCGTATGCTTGCTGAGTACAGTGAGAGGTGAAAACAACATTTGATCCAGAACATGATTACAAGCGCCTTCTAAGTTGCTCAAGACCAATAGCACACTAATGTACCACTTAGTATGCATTGTTAGGATCAAGGAAGCTTTACTTCCAGTGGTCGTTCCATTCCTTTTCCAACGCCGTCATGTTGTCTTGAATAATAGCCGCCTGCATAGCCTTTTCGCTAGCCTTGGCCATTTGCGCATTCGTCGCACTCCAATCAATCTATACTACTATCAGCCTTGTTCTATTCAGTCATAACCATACGCCAATCCACCGAGTACTCACTGGGGGTCCGATCCATCCGCTGACAGTCCATTGCGTGCTAGCCATCCTAGCCTGCGATTGAGCGATCCTCATCTGATTCATATGCATATTCTCCTGCATCTTCAGCTGCTGGAACTCTTGCTTCATGCGTGCAAGCTGAATATCCAATTCTTGCATCTTGTTGTTTCGTGCCTGAATCTTCTGCCGAAAAGTTGACAGGTCATTGGTACGGCAGGCGTCTGTGAAGTAGGTCTGAAGGCGGGGAGAGTAGAGGTCACACATGAAACCACCAGGGTGTGGTTCTTGAGCCCTGAACTGCGAGAGGATCGCTGGTCGCGGTGAACTGGAGTAGAGGGGCTCAACGTGTTTGAGGTAGCAGTCTTCACAAGCGGTGAACTCGGATGCCATGGATGACAAGCAGTATTGTTTCTCTCCTTTGACCGAATTCCCCTTTTGGCAGACAGGGACTGGTGCCCACTTCTTGACAAAATCGATCAGTGGTGTAACGTCCCGGGTTTTGGTTTCCAGTGTAATTTCTGCAACGCTGGCGATCTTGTCAACGTACTCTAGACACCGTTGTTGTCCATTTCCTTGAGTCATAAGGTCGCAGGTTGCAAGTAGCGCTTGTCCATCCGCAACTGGCGCAAAAATCCGCTTCAGGCAAGGAAAGATGATGTTGATATGCGCAACGCAGTCCGAACAGGCCGTCATTTCCTCGACCAGCGATCCGGTCTTTGGGTCTCGAAGAGAATACCATGTCCTCGTTACGGCCGGTTTCCCCCCTTTTTTGACCTCTGTATCCTCCATGTTGAAGTTTGGGCAAATACCATCCTTGTCTCTCTGAATACTTGAAATTTCGCCCAACAAGCTCAGATCAGGCTGGCCCTGTTGAAATAGCCACATGTAGGCTAGTCTTACCCATAAGAACGAGAAATCGCACATAGTCTGAAGTTGGGGGTTTGCCGGTTTGGCAGATTGTGCAGAAATAAGGGAAGCATAGCGAGTACCGCGGAAAGATGTGTTATAGCAGTCCGGACAGATGTCAAAATTTGGGATTCTTCTTGGTGAACTGATTTGCAGCCAGTCATTGTGTCCTTGTGTAAAGCTCGACCGCCCGCACAACCCAAGCGTTGGGTACTGTTTCGTCTGCGGTGTTCCTGACTGTGAAGACGATGAATTTCGAGGCGGGAGAGGTGGGGGCCGAACCTAGAGATTGATGTAGGAAATCAGTACATGTCTCGCATGCAGTTCGTACGGGAACATCACTAACCAGAGGCATGTCTTGTATGGAAAGATATCTAACTGAATAGAACGATGGAAAAGCCACCAGCAGGACATCCGATAGTGAAGACGATGTTTTGCTAAGACGGAAGAGACCACCTATCTTTTGGCGTATGAATACCTCTAGGCTACATAGTGAGTAGCTTGCCGAGGCCCTTAGCTGAAGAGGCTGAAAAGTCGTCCGAATACGATACCGGTGAAGGCCAGCCCCGCAATGAGCGCCCAAATCAAGGTCATCGAAGCGCCACGCATGTCGGACCTTCTACATGCGTTGCGCATCAAAGTGTTTTGTGCATGCGAAGTGGAGGGATCGACGGGCTACGGCCCATTGAATCATGAATAAATTCGATGGCGGCCAATGGACTCATGCAATCAGCGACAATGAAAACATCTTGTGTCGATGATTGCGGAATTCAGCCGTGACAGTAGTCTTCGCAAAGCAGTGGTAGTTTGCGGGATGGCGGTAGACGCATGATCTGTTCTGCAAGAAGTGTCGGAGCCGAGCGGTTGACACCACGCCATTCGCTACGGCTCTCGCTTGCCCTTAACCAGAATCAAGAGTATGAACAGCCACGCTATTTTAGCTCAGCAAGGCTTGTATCATTGTGTATAAACTAAACGAGCGTGAAATGCCGGGGAGGCATTCGGTCGAACTGCGTCCGAGCTCATGCAGGTGGGCACCTGAGGTTCACAAGACATGTTTAGTTTCTCTCTTTGATGTAGTGCTAAGTAGCTTAATAAATTACATCTCTGCTACAAGCCTCGTATTCTGCTCCTTGATCAGGGGCGAAAGAGAATCTACCAAGTGAACAGATCCAACAAGCCGCCTTGTGTAGTTTCGAGAGATAGGTTGAGTACTGCGGAAGGTAGATAGACCACTATATGTTTAATGATGTATTGTTTCTTGAAGATGATTCGACTTTGCCGCAAAAGAAAGCCGCTCACGTCGTCTTAGCAATACTAACAACGTTTCGCAAGGTGCCAAAAGGCAACACGTCGGCGATCCTTTTCTTACTAGCGAACAGCATGACCAGTCTGTCCAACCCACACCCCCAGCCACCAGTCGGCGGCATACCCCATTCCAATGCCTCGAGATAACTCTCGTCGATGGCGCCCTCACCCTCGGGATGGAAGTCACGCTGTTGGATGAACTTGCGACGCTGTTCGAACGGCGAGTTTTCTTCTTCGTATGCGTTGACATATTCGCGGCCGTGGATGAAGAGCTCCACACGAGATGCGACACGTTGTCCAGTGACCTCGTCAACGTATGACTTTGAGAGGGGAGAAAGTGCTTCCGGGTGTTGGGTGATGAATGTAGGGTTTTTACAGAGAGGCTCGATGTAGATCTCCGCGAGAGTATCAAGTAGACGTGGAAGAGTGGGATTGGGCGGGATGGCGAGGTCCAGCTCACCGAATAGCTGTAACAGCTTGTCGGAAGCATCCGATGATGAAAGATCAGGTAGCTTGCGACCACAAGCTTGCTCGATTGTGGGTATGAAGGGCAATTGAGCAAAAGGCTGTGCGAAATCGATATCCTCCGGCGACGCTAGGGTAGGGAAGTACGTGGACCTCAATGACTCAATCGCAGTATGAAGACCGTGTACCAATTGCTCTGTCCTGGCGACGACTGTGTGCAGGTTCGCGCCAACTTCGTAGAATTCGCAAGTTGAGAATTCTGGGTTATGCGTGTTGTCCACACCTTCATTTCTGAAGGCACGTCCAATCTCGAAGATCTTATCCTGTCCTCCAACAATCAGCCGCTTCAGGTTGAGCTCAGGTGCTATCCTGAGTCTAATAGGAGTATTGGATAACTCGTTTGCGACAGTCTCAAAGGGTCGTGCAATAGCACCTCCAGCGTTAACGTCGAACATGGGTGTCTCCACTTCCAAAAAGCCGCTCTGTATGAAGTACGTGCGCACGTAGTCATAGATCAGCGCCCGGAGACGCAGGACATCGCCAGGCTCGTCGCTTGTGAGCGCGTGAATGTGTGGTCGTCGCGCAAGTGTCTCGGCATCGTCAACCCTCTCTGGGAGGTGATGAAGGCATGGCGCGAGAATCTGGGGTACGTCGAGGGCGAGAATTGAGAGCTGTCCACTCGATGTCTTTGTAGGGTTACCGTTGATGGCTTTGCGGCATTAGAGTCTATTATCAAGCTCGACGGCTTCATCACTTACACACCCAGTCACCAACCCGAGCGACTTTCTTGAAATTCTTAAAGTTCTCATCAAGGCCGTCTTGAGGTGTGAGCTTCTTCAGCTCTGCCATGACCTGCAATCGCTGTGTATCACGTTCAATATCGAGGAACATTAGCTTGGAGCCAAGCAGTCGCACTGAGCGCACCCTTCCTGACACTGTCAGAACCGGACCGGTGCTCACGGGTAGTGAATCATACCAAACACAGACACACGATCAGGAGTTGTTTCTTGGATGCCATCGTACTTGGCATTAAAGTCACGTATCGATAAGTTCTGCGCATCCGCGGAATAAGCCAGCCTAGGGTGATAATCGCCCAAGGGCTTCACCTTGCCCAGGTGCTCCAAGCGCTTCTGCTTCTCTACATCATGTGGGCCAGTATATGCATCAGCGGCTAGGCTCTGAACAAAGCGCCGCTGAACAGAGAGATATGCTCGCGCATGTTCCGGTCTGATGGAGCGACTAGCCTGATGAAGGTATGGGCGGAGAAAGTTCAAGGTTGGCCGGCTCATGGTTCCTTTATCTCGTTAGCTACTGGTCGCAAAGAACGTGTCATAATGAATATGTAGTGAAGACGGGTTCAGTAAAGGGTATGGTGAAGTCAACCGCCCGAAGGCGTCATTCGCAACGGTTCTAAGGTTGTTTTGGATCATCATAGGAAGGGTTGTGGGCTACGGCGCTTGCGAAGCTTGACAGAGCTCAACGCGGGACTGATAATACATATCAATCGACCCATTGAGCGCTGATAAGCAGCGCAAGGCAGCTGTGTATGCAATGGAATGTTGTAGACTTACCTTTCTCTGGAACATGCCTGTGACGGCACGCCGATGACAAGTAATGGATGGAATGTCGAGGTGAGAGAACTTTCACCTCAGACTGCCAAAGCTCGGCCCATCCGCAGTTGAGCCGTCAAGCGAGGGCAAAGCGGCTGTGCGCAGTCACATGATTCACTAGCGTGCCAAGAATCTTTGGGCTTATATTCTAGCTTTCCCCCAGCCCCAAATCTGGCCAGCATACTTACCTTCTTGCGACTCATCAAGCTCAAGTATTTGATGGTCTGACAACGTCGCCTCCATTGCACAGCGGGGTGTGGTGTTGTCATGAATCTCCTTCGGGGGCTTCAGCGGGGCAATTTTTGCTGGTCTGCCACTGCGGCTTTTTTTTTTCATTGATTCCAGAGCCTTGTGCATTGGGTTGAGGAAGAAGTTTGACTGAATGACAAAGCGCGGCCATGATGTTTGAGGATGTCTACCCGACCAACTCAAGCCACCATGGTGCTGCCAAGGATGTAGAGGGGTTAGTATAGGCGGAATCTTGAGCAGACCTGAGGGTGGCTAGAAAGCTAGAGCATTGTCAAGACATCCTGATTTTACTAGCTTTGGGGGTAGCTGTCTGTACCTGTCTTCCCACTAGATATCCTGACGTCCTGCTGGAATCTGGACTTCGATTTTTGGCTTTGATCTCCACTTATGGACTAAACATGTTATAAGAGCAGAGTACTTCTTCCTACTACAGCAAACTATATTACAGCTATATAAATATTTATAGAGAATCTAGAAGTCTACAATACTATTAATCTTTATAATCTCTGTTGTTAGGAGCTAACGTAAGCTGTAAGGTAGAGCTTATTATCTCTACCTGTTTGGTTTTTCTGTTGTATGGGGTGCATGAACAAGATGCCATGACTCTCAAGTGCAAATAGCAGCCTAAAAGTTGTCGCTGACTTGGTCGAGCCATTCGTCTTACTGCTAACGCTCCTCAATCTGGCGCACATGGCAACAAACGAAGTGTCTGTACCTGCGTCAGCACTTACCCAGTCCGTTCACCAAGAGTTTGATGCATGTCAACTCCCCGGATTCTCAGCGTTTAGCAATGATCCGGATGCTCGATCCACCATCATGGTCCTCAGTCGCAAGCATATAAGTCCTCGCGTTGCCGCTGGCTTGAAGCCCATCACTATTCTACCATGTATGCCTCCATGTCAACTCCAAAGGATCAGTTCCACATGCCTCTTACTCTTGCACGTCACGATTAATCCGGTTTGTCTCTCATATCAACACCCCGAGCTTAATACGACATCAATCCTATATGCCGAGCGAAGGCCGCTCCGAGCATACTTGGTGGTCTGGCCATAGCTCCCTGTCTAGCTCCAACGGCGAAACGCGAAACGCGTGTTGCCCCGCCATGACATCGCCATGACGCTCGTCAGAATTCCCGTCATCAACGTCGATCTGCGCCAGCACATGGCATTTCCGAATCCGCACCTGTTCAGCTCGCGTAGAGCGGACTTGTACCCCTCCATGGCGTGTCATGACGTTAGGCTAGCCCCTCCAAGCGCATGTACAAGGGGGCGGATAATCTTCTGGTTCGCGGTAGTTGTAAGAAGGCTGCAAATTCAACGTCACATGTTGGCAATATGTCATCGGTTTTGTCTCTGTTAGCATTGAAAAGGTAGGCACTCTGCGCATGTTGTCACTTCTCCATCTCCATCCCTCTCTATCAGACCCTTTCCAACTCTGAGCACTTTCTACCCTTCACATAACAGCTGCACATCGAACCTACGCCCAAGATGATGTCCCAAGCAGCTCGCCAGGCCGAGAAGGTCATTGGCCATGGCGATAACGCCACCACCGCGCAGAACGTCACCAACCCTGGCAACGATGAGAGTACAGCCGACTACTCTGAGACAATGAAGGCTCTGGCGTGGTACGGCAAGAACGAGGTCCGAATGATTGACACACCGAAGCCCAAGATTCTAGAGGATCGTGACGTTATCGTCAAGGTCACTGGTTCCACAGTCTGCGGTTCTGACCTGCACTTGCTTCACGGCACTGTCGTGGAGATGCAGAAGGGCGACATTCTCGGACATGAGTTCTGTGGTGTCGTAGACGAGTGCGGCCCCGGTGTCACAAAGTTCAAGAAGGGGTACGTCTATCTCGAAGTTTTTGCTTAGAGGCATCGCTAATAAAATATAGTCAACGAGTCGTTGCCTCCTTCCAGATCGCCTGCGGTGACTGCTACTACTGCAAACAGAAGCTGTCTTCACAGTGCGAGAAGACCAACTCAAACACAATTGAGAACGCAATGTACGGCGGCCGGACAGCAGGCATGTTCGGTTACTCTCACTTCACTGGTGGATATGCTGGTGGTCAAGCAGAGTACACTCGCGTGGCATACGGCGACGTCAACCTACTGCCGCTTCCCGATGATGTTCCTGACGAGGCGGGTCTCTTCCTTTCTGACGTTCTGTGCACTTCATGGCACGCTGTTGTCGACACTGGTGTCAATAAGGGTGATGTAGTCGCCATTTGGGGAGCCGGCCCGATTGGACAAATGGCTGCGGATTTCTCTTTGATGCAAGGCGCATCCAGGGTCATCATGATCGACTCTAACTGGCGTCTCGACTTCGTCAAGGCCAGATACCCCAATGTCGATACTCTCGACTTCTCTACACTGGCCAAGGGCGAGTCGGTCACAAGCAAACTCAAGGAGATGTGCAACAACCGCGGTCCAGACGTCAGCATTGAGTGTGCTGCCGGTGAGTACGCCAAGGGCTGGGCACATTACTTCGAGATGATGCTCGGTCTCGAGACCGACACCAGCGAGCTCATCAACGAGATGATTACCAGCACACGGAATATGGGTCGCTGTGGTATTACTGGTGTATACGTCGGCTTCACCAACCACTTCAACATCGGTTCTCTTATGGAGCGTGGTATCCGTCTTATTGGTAACGGTCAAGCACCTGTTCACATGTACTGGGAGTCTCTCCTCCAGATGATCCAGGAGAAACGCATCGACCCGATGAAGATGGTCACCCACCGTGTTCGCCTTGAAGACTTGGACAAGGTCTACTACAAGTTCGAGAAGAAGGAGGATGGCATGCAGAAGGTCTTTGTTGAGACCAAGTGGAGTTTCCCAGCGTCCAAGGATAGCCCTGAGTTGACCAGGTACTAAGCCTGCTTTCATTATACCAAAACATGTAGCATAGTTTAATGATACCAACAAGAATGAAGTAAATAATTATTACATGAACATAAAGATGTAAATATATTAATGTATGCATCATCATTTCGATTCAACTGACGATTAACACTATCATCCGAGGCTTATTGTAGGTGGAAACTTCGTCGACGCACAAACCCAATCGATATGCATGACAAAAGGTCGGGGTGTTATGACAATTTAACTCTGACCATTCTCCATCATCGTTTGACAATGTGTCCCATGATATAAACTTGACTTATTCCTTTCGCATGCTGGAGCTTCGACCCCTCCCTGCCCTCTACCGTTCTGTGCTCGTCTCATTGAGAGCTCGAGCAGCCTCTAACTCCGCTATGAAAGTCTTAAGCCTCTTCACATTTGACCACGCCATCCTCGCTTGGTAGTACTTTGGCACACTGAAAAGAAACCAGGCGATGACCCACAAATACCCAATAGCATACTCCGCGCTACGCAGCCACCTTGAGTCTGACCTGAAGCCTAACAACTTCCGCACCTTGCTCCACTGAGTCGCCACACACCACTCGAATATCATAGGTAGAATCTGCGCAACATAGTAACATGTGATAGCCCAACAATCGCCAGAAGGGTTCTGTTGCCACCGAACGAGTGAGTGCATAAGGCCGGATACGAAGAAGACAAGCGTATTCTCGACCATTCGCGTGACTGCACCGCGCTTCATACCCAGCCAGCCTCTCGTCACACATTTGATGTGGCCTGAGAATGAGTGATAGACATAATTGTGCCAATGCTTCGACCAGTACCTTCTCACCGACCATGCGTTACTAAATGGGCCAAAGAGAGCTGTAGACCACTCTTCCGGGCCGTCTAGCCCCGAACCGACGTAGAGAACGGCGAACACACTGTGATAGCTTTCATACATCCATAAGGACAAGATGCACCAGTCGAACGTGAACTCTAACCGCCAGGTTATCTCTTGGTGGTCCATAGATGTTGGCAGTTGCTGGAAGAATTTCAAGAGCTCTGGTGTCATGTATGCGCTAGGCGGTAGGACAAGAGGGGAGTAGCGTGTTTCGTAGAGGTCGAACACCCTTTGGAGGCCATAGTAAACGAGCCCCTTGAGGATATGGTAGCCAACAAATCTCCAGCGCGAGTAGCCATGGCCTTCTTTCTCAGGTAGCACAACACCGTGCTGGATACGAGTGCTCCGTAAGATAGGTTCGTCAGTCTTCTTATCGGTTGCTGTATATTGCTCTTCTCCGGTCTTTTCTTTCGATGCCGAAACTCCATTGGGGTTTGTCGGTGATTTGTGCTGTTGTCTCTGTTCAAGTACCTGCGTGTGGTTCCGATCGAAAAGAACTTTGTATCCTTGTCTGACTCTTTCTTTAATTTGTTCCTGTTCTCCCATGTCTTGCTTGTCCTTTGGCAGAACCGGCGCAAATTCTACGACGCAGACTTCGTAGCTCATGTGCGCGAACCATATTAGACACGTCCGCGCAAATGTGTCATTTACTAAGAAGTGTGGACAGAGTTGGTCCGAGTATCGGAATGCATACCATGTTGGTAAGGCGAGGATGAAGATGGAGAGTTTGCGGTAGAGGCGCCTGGTTGGTGGGAAGGAGAGAATATAGAGGGCGTATAGTATGGCTGTGGTGAAGCACAGTATAGGTGTGGCACCGTTGGTAAGTTTCCAGTCCTCTTGCAGGTACTGGCCAGGCATGATGGTCGTATGTGCGATGTGTTACGCAGCCGTGAAATCTCCCAAATGGTCTGAAGTGGCGGTATACCGGAGTGAGAAGATTGGGTTTTCAGAATTAAGAGTGAAATCTTTTTGGTGTGTGCAGGTCGGACTATATAACTGTGGTCGCGAATGTCTAACCACGGTTGGTGTGGTGGGGACTTACGTGAAGTTGTGGTAATAAGATTCCCGAGCCTTGTTACCTGTGAATGTCCACTCAGCTCGATTGCGAGGCGTGGATCCTCGAACCTAGGCTCAAATGTGGAGATGGGTGAAAGGCGGTTCTACTTCGCAGCGCGGCGATTTACCGATTTCCAGCATTCACCGATCTACTATTGTAGACCTTTAACTATTCAGTACTGTGAAAACAATCACACGATACCGCAGTTCTATAGGTCGGGTAATAGAAAATAGTATGTTCCTTTCAGGCTCAGTCCAGTGATCACGGATGTTAGCCCGCTTTGTGATGCTTGCATGGCTTGCGCTGGAGTAGACCTTCTAGTTCAAACCATGGTTTGTCAGACAATGGAAACAGGGTCGTTGTCAGAGGCTCAAATCAGCTCGACCATCTACCAGTTTTTCTATGTCTGTGAATTACCAACATCCCCAGGCATCGGAGCGAAACCGCTGATTGGATATTCGTACGACACTGGCGAGGAAGACGTATGTATTCCTCCTAGAAGCATTACGAATATGCTTAGACACAGTCGTACTGTTGAGTTTGCATGTTCAGCTGGACAAGATTCGATGCTACTGTTGAGGCTCCTACTGCTGTCTTTGAGGAATCGAGGAGAACTGAGACATCGGTGTGATAATTCAGCGATTATTTGGTCTTGACTAGGAATGTATCAGGGCAAACAGGGAGGTGAAAGGACATGCTTCCTTTGAGGTACTAATGCGGCCTTCGTCTGTGGTGCTTTGGGTGTCGAGACTCTGTGTCTAGCCAGTAAATCGATCTTTGGGTCATTCAGTCGGTCCTGTGATTGGAGTGTAAGAGTCCTAATCATGTTGTTCATCACAAGAAAGTAGGCTATGAGCCAATCTGCTAGACGACTGACTTGTTCGCTATCGTATGCGTCTTTGGTAGTGATTATTCAGCCGGCACAGCATGCTTCATCTGACCAGTCACTCAGGCACAAGTCACTCGCAGCTGACACTGATCTTGCTTGCAGACTCGTCATGATTACATCTGTCGACAAAAACGCGGACGGACAAAAAGAAAAGGAGGAAAAAGAAAGAGTGCACGGAGGTCTTGCAAAAGACGTATTCGTTTCTCTTGGCTATTGATACGGGGTCCGCGAAACAACAAAAACAAAACGACCGTGTGCGACGTGCTGGCAGTCTGTGTTGTATTGTTGAGATAAGAGTTGCCGCTCAACCGCACCAGCGGTCTTGAGTACACGGGTACTAGGTTGTGCCCAGCCAGACGCCTAGCCACAAAGTTGTGGCGTGTGCTGTTTCGAAACCAGTTCCGGGTCGTGGCGCATGAAGGCTACGCGGCCTTGCAGTGTCGCATCCATAGGATCGGCTATATGCATAGCATGGTGTGACGCGGGTGCAGCCGTTGCTTGTGGACGCCAAGGTTGGCTTGTGGTGTCTCTGCGGCACCATGCAGCGACGCAACGCCTTGTTGCTACTGAGGCACCATGGCTGATACGATGGGACCTTCACATGCTGGCATACTTGTCGTGGCTAGATTTGACCTTCATGTCCAAGGCTGTCTCATGGAAGTTGCCCTGAACCCTCGACTTCCTTAGCTTCTTGACCTCGTCGTCGTTGAGACGCCGGCCAATCTGGTCTTCTAGCTCCTTGCGACTAATCTTGACATTCGCCTTCTCTTCCTTGCTCGCCTTGAGCCGCGGCTTGAAGCGGGCTTGCATGCGTATGCGGAAAGTGGTGCTGAAGTCTATGTGTTCGGCATCGCCCCGTGGTTCTGGGGCTTTCCCAGACGATTCTTCGATGGTCAGGAACTTGTCGCGGGCAGTCTGTAGGGAGAATGCGGAGGGGTTGTCGGGCACGGCAACGACGACAAAGGTTTCTTCGGGAGAGATGGCGGTCGCGGTCGCGTTTAGGACGCCGAACTTGTCGCAGCTCAGATATCTACATCATGTCAGTCGCGTCTTTTGCATGTCCTCTGAAGCTCCGTGCCTTCCGTGATGGCCCTTCAGACTGAGCTGTTCGGTGCCAGCGATGCGATTCGCGACGAAGACCTGGCGCACATCGTGCGGTTCAGCCGTCGCGACATCGCCCTCGACTATGTTCTCCAATTCGCTTGCAAAGACCTTTCCGTTAGCGTCGCATGCCAGGCACGTGTTCGGCGAGTCGGTGGGCAGCACAATGACTATAGGTCCTGAGATGTCTGTCGGCGCATCTGCGCTCACCCAAGAGTCGTCGCTCTCGGCTTCGGCAGGTGCGCTGGTCGTAAGCTGCTTCGAGGGCTTCTCATCGGCGTCGTAAGGGTCGGCAGCTTTTCTGCGCTTCTTGACCTTCTTGTCACCCTTGAAGTGGAGTGCCTTGGGCATGGTGATGGCGCCGCGATGGTGGTGGTGGTGGTGGTTAGGCGTCGGAGTTGAGAGATCGGAGTTGGCCGAGGCTGAAGCAAATCAGGCAGGTGCAGTCGAGATTCTGATCAGACGAGACCAAACCCGCACTACGAGATCACGATAAAGAAGCAGTACTGGCTACCGAGTGTGAATAGCATCATCAGTCACTGCATCTTGCTCGACGACTAAAATGGCCAACGCTAACGCTGCAGTGAGCCAGAGTGCCGTCGCCGTAGGTCTAGAGGCTCTGAAGAATAGTGAGTGGCATTTGCATCACCACAACCCACAGTGGCTGATATCTCTGTAGACGATGTAGACTTTTCTCTACTCGAAGATGCCTTCGGATCGTCTAGCTTGGGCATTATAGTTGTAAAGGATCTGCCTTCCAAATTCCATGAGCTGCGACATAAATTATTGTCATACGCCTCTGCTCTGGGAAATCTACCAGAAGACGAGTTAGGTGAGCCGCGTTCCCAAACTCCCTAATGGGATGGATACTGATAGGTGACCAGCCAAACTTGAATCGCCGGCATCCAAATGGCTAGTTGGCTGGAGCTGTGGAAAAGAGACCCTCAAGGACGGCAGATATGACACCCTCAAGGGCTCATACTACGTCAACTGTGCCAATGGTTTCGAAGAGCAGCAGAAGTCATTCGCTGAAAAGTACCCATCCTTCCCAGAGTACACGGCGCCCAACGTTTGGCCTTCCCAAGAGCTCCTCCCAGGCTTCGAGGACACCTTCCGTGAGCTATGCACTCTCATCATCGACATAGCCGCATTGGTTGCCCGTGCCTGCGACAAGTACGCCGAAGCCAATATCGACGGCTACCAGAAAGGGTACCTTGAGCATGTAGTCAAGACAAGTGTCTCGACCAAAGCCAGACTACTGCACTACTTCCCCAGCCCCTCGTCAGTCCCCGACACATCCAGTGGTGATGAGGACGACTGGTGTGCCACTCATCTTGATCATGGTTGTCTCACAGGTCTCACCTCGGCCATGTTTGTCGATGAAGCCGTCAGTCCTCCAAAGACCGGTACATCATTCGCGCCTCTTCAGGAACTTGACCGCTCACCGGATCCCAAGGCGGGTCTCTACATTCACTCCCGCACCGGTACTGTCACAAAGGTCAGCATACCCCGCGACTGCCTCGCTTTCCAGACTGGCGAAGCACTGGAGATCATCACAAAGGGCAAGTTCAAAGCTGTGCCTCATTTTGTAAGAGGTGCTGCAGCTGGAGGAAAAGTAGCGAGAAACACACTAGCCGTGTTTACGCAGCCGAATCTGTGGGAAAAGGTTGACGAGAAGAGAGACTTTGCGGCCTTTGCCAAGGAAATTGTTGAGAAGAACCACTGAGGCTCAAGCGGTGTTGGTGTAGCGAGCAATAGACCTCAAGTCAGTCAATAGGCGACATGTATAATGACATCACGCATCTCACCCGCTCATTTTACAGGGCCGCCAAGCTCCCGGGCGTTCCTGCCCAAGGTACCCGGGACCTGAGTCAACGGAAAAAACCCAAATGGCGCATGCATGCTGACAGATGGCATTTTGGAATCGCCAGAATTGCATGCCACGACAGTCAGCTGTGGCTTCGTAACGATGCCAGCGCTTGAATCATTATCCACAATGCCGAAATGAGGCTCCTAATCTACGCATGATACAACGCGTCGTCCTGTACGCACTTCTTTGTCGTCGAAGCGCGCTAGGACGTTGCTGTGAGACGCGCTACACACATTGCGCGGCCTCGAAAGTTGAAACACACAAAACAGCGGCTGTCATCTAATCTACGTCGACGATCTCACCCACTGTCAGCCGCCGGCCAAACGTGGAGGGTGGGTACTGAGACCCGAAGACGCGCTGCTTTAGGTTCCAATGTTGCGCCACACGTCCAAGGTTTTTCGCCATGGATGCAACGCAACCTCTGCGCATCCCTAGGCAAGCACCCGTTCCTTTAGCCACAGGCAGTGCCAACACAATCACTATATTCGTTTTCTTGCGTGCAGTGCCGAATCCCGGTTGGCGCATCCTCTGTCACCGCCACAGCGAATTGCCCATGCAGGCGGCTTGTTGCCAAGAAATAGAAGGCCTGAAACCGGTGGGGAACATTCACCATCCACCGACGATTATTACGCGGCCACCCATGCTGGCTCGGCGCTTGTTCCCCCTTTCAGCCCCAAAGCCAATTAGACGGCCAAAAATCCCTATTCCTTCTCGACGCATCTCTATCATGCCAAGAGAGCCTATCCGAGATGCCGTCTTCGCATGGGGGAACTTGCTTGCACCCTTGCCATGCACTTAACCTCCTTCTTGGTTCGATTCTACCCACACCAATGCAGCCTCTATAGCTGTCACTGTCGCTCATTTTTCTTCCCTCTCTTGTTTTCCTGCAATCGCTGAGCGTTCTTACACATCACCACTTGGGGCCTGTATATCCCATCATCAGTCGTTAAGTCGTCTGCATGCGTATGTCTTTCCTAGCAAAGGCCCCGTTATCGCTCGCGCGCGCCACCATCTCGAGCCTTGCTACTCCTTTGGAACCCGCCGCTGGTCCCGGAAAGATGGCTTCCAACAATCGCCAGAATGTTACTTGGGTTGAGGTAGGCTGTCATAGTCCAGCCAGATATGGGTGTCTGCTAACCGTCATAGGGTGTTCGTGGAGTCGCTTCGTTCTGGGTTGTCGTAACACATTTATGCCGGGCTTGGGACTACAGCCTTTGGTCACCGCGTGACAACGAGAATGCAGCACCGCAACTACTGCAACTGCCCTTCCTCCGATTACCATTCCAAGGCCGTATCGGTGTTACCATGTTTGCTTTTCTCACCGGTTACGTATGCGCTATCAAACCACTTCGACAGGCCAAATCTGGAAACGTTCCAGCTGCGTTGGAGACACTGGGCAAATCTGCTTTCCGTCGCCCACCGCGACTGATTATGCCCGCAACCATTGCTCTGGTCATTGCGTGGTTTTTTGCCCAAATTGGTGCTTTCGAGGTTGCCCACTTGAGCGACTCTCACTGGTTCCGTCGTTCTGTCCCTACCAACATCGGTGGCCTTGATACGGAAATCCCACGATTGATCAAGAACTTCCAGACGTCTTGGTCCGGCGCCAACAACGAATACGATGACCACCAGTGGGCTCTCTTGCCTCTGCTGCAAGGTGCTTTCCTCATCTACGTTTTGCTCTTCGCCACTGTCTTCATGAAGTTCCGCATGCGCCTCTTTACCTGCATGGTTCTGTTCCTGTGGTACTGGATGCGCACTAGCCCTGAGAAGGGTATGTATTGATCGTTGAACTTGCTCGCAACAATCACTAACATCACTAGAAACTTTCGAGTGCCAGTTCCTCTACGGTGTCATTCTCTGCGATCTTGGCTCCGAGAAGAGCTTCCGCGAATTCATCAACAGCCGTGTCAAGGCTCGACGTATTGCGACCGCATTCCTCATCATCCTCGGCTGGTATGTGGCGTGCTACCCGGGAGAGCACTGGGAGTGGTCGGCTTGGTCTGTTCAGCTTAAGAATATTGGAGACTGGATTATTCCTCAGGGTGCAGCAAGCTACCCCAAGCGCTGGACTGCTATCGGATGGGATCTGATGGTCACCGGAATCTGGCTATCGCCTTCTCTGCAGAGCATGTTCTCGAACAAGCTCTTCATGTGGGTTGGCCGCAACAGTTTCGCCGTATACCTTACCCACGGAACGGTCATGAAGGTTGGCCTAGCTCGCCTGATTTACGGATTCAGCACTGCACCATACCACGTCGAGCAGCCAAAGGATGGTCAGGGCGAAGCTATTGAACACTACATTCCCAGGTCTACAAACTGGTTGGTCTGGGCCCTCGCCATTCCCATCTTCTTCGTCGTCGAATACACCATCGCTCACCTCTGGACCACATACGTCGACGCACAATGCGCGAAAGCCACCAAGTGGCTTGAGGACAAGATGTTCGAGAAGAACGAAGACGAGAAGCACGGTGTCGCAAGCATGGCTTAAATCAACACAATGCGCAAAATTACAAGCATCATCATCAGGAGTTACAGATGAGAACCTCCTGCTCGGTTTTCCTTGTTGTCGGGTTTCATTTTCGGTTTTACGATTTCCTTTGTTTGGGTTTATTACATCTGCGGATACCAACATTCGTCGCATTTCATGGAGTTTCTTTGGTATGGGCAGCAATCAGCATAAAGCATAGAGCTTTCTTAGACGAGGGAAATGTTCTCGTGTCGCAACGACAAGATATGGCCGGCACTGTATAGCGAAGCAAGCGAGTCGAAAGCTCAACAGATTATCTAATTCAACAAATCATCAACTCAAATCTCAAATGCCTCATTCTTGCATCGTGCACCCCATATCACATCCGGCCCGATCCTCGTGACCTTTTTGGTCAGGAATAAGTTCCCGCAGATCTTTGAAGCATCAAATCTTGGCCGCCTCATTATGGGAAGTATCATCGCAAACACTCATCATGCGACAACACAAAGAAAAAAAACCACCGAGAAATTGCGCTATTCCTCCACAACGGTCCCCGATACGCATCCTGCAATGACGTACATCCCTGCAGCGGACCCCATTCCTACAACAATCCAGCCCACTCTACTTGACCAAGAAATCCGGACGGCATCACGAGCCACATGCAACAACTTCTTAAGCTTATTGCCAAGCTCGCTGCTAACTGCCGCTTGAGGGACATTAGCCACAAGGGTCTCTTGGCGTTGTTATACCCACGCCGTTATCCCCGTTGGCTGTGGCGGCTGGTGTGGTGTGTGGTGCTGCTGCGCGGACGCATGTGTGTTGCGCATGATGGCGGTGTGCCGGTCAATATCTTTGCGGGATACGAGATGTAAGAGGGCAATGCTTGTGTCGCATGTGTATCTGCTATCCACTGTGATTTGGAAGGTGTGGGGGCCGGGATCGATGGAGTTGGGGTCTCGATGGAGAAAGCCCTGCGGTGGGCCACCCAACGACCTGTGCAGTCGACGGTTTTTTCCTGTAGAAACGTCATCGTCGATTTCGCTCCCGCCAACGCTAGGACTGCCTCTTTCTGCCTCAGCCAAACTCTACCGAGACGTTGACGATCGGGTCTTGTATTACCTCATACAAGGAAAAGACTAGACAGGTACAAAAATAATAAGGTATACCTTACAGTCTACATTATCTCCCAATAAGAAAACTTATAAAGATAAATAACGTTGTAGTCTTCTAAGGTTTCTATTTACATCTATAAAGATCTAATACGCATTATTGTAGTAGGAAGAAGTACTCTGTCCTAAGAGGTGTTTAGTTTCTCTCTTTGATGTATTGGTATTGTCGAACACTTGGTGTCTCTTGCTACGCTTCGTCGCGATGAGTGAGAGTCTCGGGTACTTGGCGAGCGATCTTTTGCTTGGTACCAGCTGCTCAGGCAGCTCTGACATGCGGTTTTACGGGCTGTGTGGTCGAGGGAAGACATACTCACTCTGCGTTCGATCGTGTTGTACTCCCCCACGTCTTCTATCTGCATCCCGACCGATGAAAGTCCCTCCAAGAGAAGCAACTGCATATGTGAGAGACAGACAATTAGCATTCAAAGAAGGCATGACACTAGGCCTGCGTTCACCAAGCAGGCGGGCTTTGCTACACAGGGCATCAAATGATTTGGATGGCAAGCATACAAAATATCGCAAGTCTGATAAACACGAAGAGATCACTCCAACGAGTAACTGTCTGTAAGATAGGTACGCGCCCATTAAAACTGTACAGAAGTCACTGTGTCCTCTCCTCTTCTGCCCTGTTCAAAAATTCGTTCAGAGGTTTTTTCTCATTTGCTTCTCCATCTCGTCAAAACCCATCAGTACCAACCACGGGGCTCTAAAGGACCACAATTGTATGGCCTCCATAGTAGGCCTTGTCTATTTATTGAAGGTAATCTTCTCGACTGCGGGTTGCGAATGTAGTGTCTTCTATCACCCGCGGCCTGCCGCCCTGTCATTATGCGAGGAAGCATAAGGCCCTGTCTCGGCATAGAACTCATGTCGTGGCGTTGGTAGTAGTGTCGGTCTTGGTAAGCGTTTTGATCAGGGTTTATGGGCATTTTTTCGATATTAAGCTTGTTGTGAGTATGTATTACGAGAATGCTTTAGATTGGTTGTCAACGTGCTTTGCTACCTAGGTATGGCTTGGTTGTATGGCGAAGATTTTGGGTTGTGTATAGGAAAACTAAGAGGAACATGATCGCGACGCTTTATATGCCTCTGGATAATTCATTATTGTAGCAAAGGGGTGACTCTATGGGCGTTGATAATTGAACGGCTAGCATGTAACATTCTATTAACTAAATGCAAGCTGTCAATTACAGGGAGACTTGAACGGGGTCTTCAAGGACCGTCTCGGGAGTGGAATCAAGACTGAGGTCTTCCTGTAGAAATACCTTCCTATCCATGTCAGCTATCAATGACGCTAGCTGACATGTAAATAGGTATAAATCTTCTCCGCCATATACCCTCTGCTTGAATCACTCTGCTATTTACGTGAGCTCAATAGATGTCGCACCAGAGTAGCGAATCTAGAATAATGAACAGGAGAGAACGACATGGAATATGTAGAGAGGCTATAGCGGGGAAGATTGCGTAATGTGCGGGAAACACGCATGAAGTGACACGTTTAAAGCGAACATGTCTAATATAGTAGTACTCTTCACTAGCACGCGCTCTTTCTTCGTACATCTGTTTGCATGCACAGTCCCTTTAGCCGTCTGCAACTAGATGTCCTCGAACTTCCTTCTTCTCCCTACCTCCATCTTCGGCAACAGCTTAAGGTAATCTACTATGTCTTGTCTAAGACCAAGTTTCTCGGTACTTTTTACAGGCAATTTGGTATACACAGCGAGTCGCTTATTGAGAGTACCAGCAGTTATACCTCTTTACAGTAAGCCTCTCCATAATTTGCGACCACCGTATACAATAGAAAACTCAAAGGGATATAAGAATAACATGCCCTAGTTTACTGCCTACGTTAGCTTCTAAGAAGAAATTCTAGAAAGATTAATAGTATTATAGACTTCTAGATTCTCTATCTATGTCTAAGAAGGTTCTAACAGGCTTTGTTGTAGTAGGTATAAGTACTTTGCTCTAAAGAGATGTGCAGTTTCTCTCTTTAAGGTAGTGCGACTATAATTAGACGCCAGCTCACTCTATCCTCTACTCATGCTCTCACACTTATCGTGATATGTGATCATCCTCATACACCTTTATATCGCCTATGGGCCATTCTCTGCATATACACATGCCTTCTTTGCCTCCTTCCGCGTCAAAGCACCATCGTGGTCCCTGAAAGCCTTCCAGAGATCTAGCCGGTAAAGCCGATCAAGGACTGCTGTTGGCCGTTCCTGTCTTCATTATCTTCCAAGGCAGTCTAGCCTTTCGTTGATGCTCTCACAGACTCTCTGCTTCATACTGAACATCTTCTGTCCAGGTTGCCATGGCGGTAACCGTGCTTGAAAGGGTGACCTAATGTTTTCTTCTCCCTTATCTGCTGCCTCTCCTTCTTCAATGGCAGATTTCTCACCTTCTTCCGTGAGCGTCTCATCTTCTTCGTCCCAGTATTCTTGTTCTTCCTCTTTCGATGTCGCGAACCCCTTTTAGAGCCGATCTATAGTCGCCCAGGTGTCCTTGCAATGGCTAGTGTTGTACTTTTCGTATCCTTCTGGACTTGCCCAGCATGACGGTATATAGGAACGTGAGTTTCGATTATACGTGAGGCGTCTGTGGCTCTTCTCTGCAACCGTGTGTTCGTGATGTGGCGTTGTCGTAACCGGTGTGGTACCAAGCGGAAGAATTGTAGCCTGTGCGTTGATAACGACTGACTTGTTTGAGCGGGAAGTGGAAGGCGAGTTACACTTCAGTGCCGAACGAGGCTCCATCCAAGCGGTCTCTCGAACAGAGTCGGGTGTTTTGGGTATTGCGTCGCCATTGGGCGAATGTCGTGGTCTTTCTATCGGCTCGGCAAGCTTTGTTACTACGTTTGTGTCATGCTTGATGAGAGCTTTGAAGCGGTTCTCCGAAGTGCAACCCAGATGCTTCAGTCTGTTGATGACGCTGTTCGTCTCTTTGGTGACTGCTTTTTCGGGCTCGTCTTGAAGTAAACTCTTTAGTGGCTGAGATCTTTTCTTCCATCTACACTTAACCGTCTCCCAATCCTCTTCAGATGATTGTTCTTCCGCAGGTGCTGGCTTCAAGATGGCTTGTGTGTCTTGTACCTTCGTTGAAACGAAATCCCCTGTATGCCCATAACCAGGTACTTGGCTACACTCATCTTTTACAAGCTCCCAGATATACAGCGCCTCGTCTAGACCCCATTGTTCTGCCATATCGCATCGTTCGTCCTGTAACTTTTCCAGTGTTGCCTCAAGCCTCCAACAATTAAGTCTTGTCCTCCTCCACTGTTTAGTCCAATCCCTATGCGTCATCCACTTCTTAGCGTTGCTCTCAGTCGTACACCATTCTCCTCCCGCGTTGGAAGAATCGAATATACCACCACGGCGAGACAATGCAGCTTGCGTGGCTTTCACTTCAGCAATACGAGCTTCTGTGAAGCAGACCGCACAGACAGAGATTGACAAGTCGGGAGTAATATTGGGTACACAAGTGTAGCCATGATGGCATGGTTGCTCCATGGTAGCTGATCTCGAATACCGCAAGCTGTAGGATGTTTTTGCGGTCGAGATCGTCCGTGGTGGTAGCAGTTGTAGACTCGGTCAATCAGGAGAAGCGATCAGTTCTCCTTATGGTCCCAATCGCGAGTCACGTTGTATGAGCGGAAGAGAGTCATTTTGCTAGGAATCATCGAACGATCCGATGGTATATGAAAAACAAGCGGTCTGCAACGAGGCACCCAGAGATGCCTGAGGGCCACTTCGATTAAGAATGGTGGAGCGTCGATGTTAGAAGTGAGTAGAAATACGAGTCAAGAAGAATAGTCTCATCAGATCTGAGCGAGCCACAAAAGTGAGTGCGACGGTCAATGCGACATGGCTGGACCGAGCTTTTCATCATTCACTCCGACCTTCGATCCTACTTATGCCAATGAGTGCCCATCGCCTATGATATTACAAGCTTAGACGGATACTTCTTAATAGTTTCCCTAGGCTCGAGGATTGTGTGGTCCAGAACAGTCAGCGAAGGCTGATGCGGGTCCATGTATGTGGTGTAAGCGGCTTGCTCATTTTCAACGATCTTGGTAGGCACTGTGTAATTGAAAGTCTTGATGACTTCGACCTCCTGAGGGGGCGAAACATGCTGGTCTAAAGTAAATGCGATGGTATCTCACCTCCATATACCATACAAGCTGTCTAACCATACACAAGCCATTTTGGCATAATTGTCACGCACGTTGGATCGCCCAGCCTGTATGTTCATCGTGTTGACAGCGATTTTGGTGAAAGTTTTAGTAGCCATGACTGCATCATATCACGCGCATGGGTGTTGCGTGTGTTCTGTTTGTATCATTTCGTGGTGCCAGAGCGATGAAATCCTCATACTGTTGATTGATCCGGGCGCGGGCCGTCTCTCGGTTCCATATATTGAGCTCCGCTATGGCTGTAAGTGCCAAAGACATTATCTGTGCTGTTCGTTCCCGATGTCCAACAACATTGATGTAGGAGTCCCAACAAATGTATCTTTCGCAATGCCGCTGAGTATGCGCTCGAAACCGACGAGATGATAGATGCTGGCGATGGTGTTGAGTTCGGACTGGTCGGCAAAAGAGCGCCCGCGATGACGTTTACTGCTTGGCGCTAGCTTACAATGAGCTCCGGCCTTAGCACCTGGATAACGCTTATTCTTCTCTAGACACCTCAATTCTCCTTCCATCCCCTCCTCATCACATCAATTCGTCTCGCCATGTTTGCTAGACAGATCTTCCGCCCGGCCAGGACGTTGCACCAGGTATGCGCGCACATTCTCACCGAACGCGACATTACAAATCTTCCCAGTCTCTGTGTAAAGTACTAACAAGAGATAGCAAGTCCGCCGTTACGCATCCGAGCCGCCCAAGAGCGGTGGCAACAATGGTGTCCTCTACACAGGTATCGGCGCTGCTGGTCTTGCTGGTGCCTACCTATACATGAGGGGCGGCGATGCGCCGTCGGGGCAGAAAGGCAATGCGCCGCCCTCAGAAGAGGCCAAGAAAATCCCCGCTTCTACCGACGGCTCGGTCAAGAAGGCTTTCACTGGAGGCGACCAGGGCTTCGTATCACTAGTGCTGGAGAACACCGAGGTTGTCAACCACAACACCAAGAAGCTCCGATTCAAGCTGCCCGAGGAGGATATGGAGAGCGGATTGCCCGTTGCCTGTATGTTGGACAACCAAGAATACTGGCTAGACCACATGCTGACTTCCTACAGCCGCCGTAATTACCAAATACAAGGGCCCCGAGATGCAGAAGCCAGTCATCCGACCATACACACCCATCAGCGACGTAGACCAGAAGGGCTCCGTCGACTTCATCATCAAGGCCTACCCCAACGGTCCTATGTCTGAGCACATGCACAGCATGGAGCCAGGCCAACGGCTAGACATCAAGGGTCCCATCCCCAAGTTCCAGTGGAAGGTATGAGCCGCCCAGTTGCCCCAGCTGTGAGACAAAAACTGACGCAAAATACCACGTGTATAGCCCAACATGCACGAGCACATTGCCTTGATCGCTGGTGGCACCGGTATCACCCCCATGTGGCAGACTGCACGACACATCTTCCGCAACCCTGAGGACAAGACCAAGGTTACGCTCGTATACGGCAACGTCTCAGAAGAGGATATCCTGTTGAAGCGCGAGTGGGAGGAGTTGGAGAACACATATCCCCAGCGCTTCCGCGCTTTCTACGTTTTGGACAACCCGCCTGAGTCGTGGCAAGGCGGCAAGGGATACGTGACCAAGGAACTCCTGAAGACTGTTTTGCCTGAGCCCAAGGAGGGTGACAAGATCAAGCTGTTTGTCTGCGGACCGCCAGGCATGTACAAGGCTATCAGTGGAGGCAAGAAGAGCCCCAGCGACCAGGGCGAGCTTGACGGTTATCTGAAGGAGCTTGGTTACAGCAAGGACCAGGTCTACAAGTTCTAAGCATGTGTAAACATAGATGTGTATGATACCTGATCGCGTTTTCTCTCGAGAATAATCTCGCAAAAGCGAAATTAGACACTTCGAAACGCGAGCCAACAAACCTTTTTGTGTGATATGTCGCGCAGACAACCGAAGGCACTACCACGTGTAAGAAGAGTATTTGCACCACTCAGTACATCTACCGCGTATGACTGCATTGCTCACAACATAAGTGCCTGCGAAATCGTCACGGTTGGTTTTGGTGTTCAGTGCACTAGAAGAAAAAGGGATTTCTTCGTACCTGAATAGGCAAACCGACCAAGACGCCGGCAGATCAACACGCTAGCTTACGGGCGATTGGATCGGCGCCAGCAACCGTTGTTAAGGAAGTGGTCAAGTCATGACGTTTGAAAATGACTCGGGGCAAGTTCGCGTCTTGCCGACGTAAACAACACATGCTGCTGACATTCCCATGAACTCGGAACGCGACAGACGTCCCTCGACGTTCGTGAGTGCCAATTGGCTCAGCTTATCAACTGCCTACAGATACATCACAAAATCTACTCATACAGGATTAGCCTGTTCGTAGGGGCCTCGAGTCACTAGAACGACACAACTATACGCAATGGGTGTTACAGTATCCCACACAGCATTCTCGCCATTATCCATGGTATCGACGATTATCGGCTTTGTCTCGTTTACCTTCACACTTGCGACCTTACTAAAAGTCTCCTGGTCAAATCTCATGACTTTCCAAGCGGCTCCAGAAGAGATCAAGGACACACTGTCGAGCCTGAAACAAGGTCTGCTGGAGGAGAGGAGACACTTGAGAAAAGTAAGAAGAAGACTGAAGAACGTGAGGAGAGATCGCAGTCATGGTCCTGGTGCCCGAAGCGATTCCGAGGAGTACTACGGTGGATATGGTGGTGGCAAGCATGTAAATGGAGGTCGAAAGAAAAGTAGACGAGGAAGAGGGGGTAGCAGGAGGGAAACGATGCATTTTGACCGCGACATTCAGAGGATGAGATCCAGCGGCGAAGAAGAGGCGTTGAGCGTGATGCGTGTCACCATCCGCGATCTTATTCAAACGTTCCGAGGTCTTGAGCATCCATTCCTCAAGCCTGAGTATCAATCTCAAGACCCGGCGCGATGGTCAATTCAATCGTCAACTCACCCATCCGAGAAATCGCCTTATGCAGCGCAGTATCACCCGTACTCAGATGACGATTCGCCCTCAGCTAGCCATCTACATAGCAGCAATCGCCTAGGCTTCGAATACGCTAATTGCGATCTTCAACGTCGTTGGCTTTGGGTGCGACGCAAGGCTGACGTGATCAGCTTGAGTACTGACTTGAGCCGAGTGGAGGGTAGACGGACAGCGCATGAGGTGGGTGAAATATTGAATATGATATCAGATATAGGAAGAGATATTGAAGATCTAAGAGGAGTAGTTGAAGGGGTGGAAGGTAGGTTAAATAAGGTTGTGGGGGTAAGACGCGTAGATTAAGAGAAGAGGCAGATGAGGGTATGAGTGGGAGATGAGAAGAGAGCGACGCGCTTTACAGGATGAGGCCACGAGTTTTCACTTTGCGCTCTCACATCCACAGTAACCAAAGCCTGCACATAGTCTTAGTTCTTGATTGCACTGACTACGTAGTGCTTGCGTGTATATGCCATTTTTCAACCAACGCCTGAACCTCCCTGGGGGTATATTCCATATGCATAACTATTACCGAGGGACCAAAACCCGTATTAAATAACAACCCATATCAAATGCCGATATGCATGCTAGGGACAATGCACCATGTGAAGACTCCGTAACACCGTCGAGCCCAGCTCTTGTATGCGTGAGCATCACCGTAACCATCGTCGTAGACGTATACCCAAAAAATACTTTTGTCATCCAAGTACGCTGAGTCGTAACGCATGTCTTTCATACGCCGTAGGGCTGTTCACTCGGCCCAGCGGGCACGTTGAGTGAAGCTTCGTCCGGCAATCTTTTGCTTCCGAACTTGCTTGCTAGCTCTTCGATCTTAGGTATTAGCTCACCGATCCTGAACGGCTTGCTGACAACATCATCCATGCCTGCAGCGAGCAATGTCGCGATCTGTTCACTGCGCGCATTTGCCGTAACCGCGATGATAGGAACATGCCTCTTGAACTTGCCCTGTTGTTCAAGAGCACGAATTTGCGAGGTGCATTGTAAACCGTCCATGACTGGCATCTCTTTGTCCATTAGCACGACTGATATGTCCTCCAGGGGAGACTGATTGGGTGAGGCCCAGTAAGTAGAAGACTTGAGCGCTTCAAGTGCTTCACCGCCATGGTTTGCGACGGTCGTTTGGATGCCGTGGTTTTGGAGCTGGCGCTGAAGGACTTTTTGGTTTACTGCGGTATGTTAGTAAAAGTAAACTGGCAGGGGAAGCCTTAGTCATGTACCAAGATTGTCCTCCACGATTAGTACTTTGAGTTCCCTCTTCTTTGGCTTGGCCTTTGGACCAACGCTATCCTTGCCAGGCACAGCAGCAAAATCCTTGATTTTGGTTGCGATCTTCGACGGAAGAGGTAGCTCCTTTCTGCCCTTATCCTTCGCATTCGACACCTTCCTGGACATTGATGGAGTTGGAAGGACTTCCAAGGCTTCTTGTGGCTCGCTGCTCCTCCGACACTTGACGTAAAACGCGAATGTACTGCCTTTGCCTGCTTCGGAAGAGACGCCAATCTCTCCACCTTGTAACTCTGTCAACTCGCGGGAGATGAACAGGCCGAGGCCAGATCCGCCGTACTGGACGTGTGTCCGTGGACTTGCCTGAGAAAAGCGTTGGAAAAGGAGCTTCTTCTCCTCCGGCGTAAGGCCCCGGCCAGTATCCCGTACTGCAAATTCCAAGAAGATCTCTTCACCATCACCCCAGTCAGGTCCAAAAGTTTGGTCGGTCCTCTTGGCTCGCATGGGAAAATAGCTAACGGTAGGATGTTCGCTTGCCGATGGACGTACTCGCGATGCTGATAGAACGACCTTGATGGTTCTGGTCTCCTCGGTGGTCGTAAATTTGATCGCGTTGGTGGTAAGATTGATGAGTACCTGAAGCACTCGTGAGGGGTCAATCTTCACCCAATCAACACCGAGCTTGGTGAATGAGTCGGTCAGGACGAACTCCATCTGAATGCCAGCTGTTTGCACCTCTCCTTCGAACATCTTCAGCGCACGTTGCACCACTTGTAAGGGTTGAGCGTCCACTGGTGTCACCATGAGCATTGCGCTGTCGAGCTTTGATAACGTCAAAACGTCGTCGACGATACGCTTTTGATGCTGTGCGCATAAGGCGATTGTTTGTGCCGCATCAATCGAATCGGCAACAATGCCTTCCTCGATGACATTGGAACCTGAAGCTCTGAAGTCGCCTAAGATGGTGCTAATCTCATCGGCACACTGCAGAATAGCAGATAAAGGATCTTGTAAGACGTTAGCATATACTCATAAGCGGTTGATGTAGGGAAGAATCCTACTTCTCATCTCGTGCGATGTTATGTCAATGAAGTTCTCCTGTTGTCGCTTGAGTTCGACAGCTTCCTCCATCTTCCGCTTTTGGAAGCCTTCGGCCCACTTTTGAGGTGAGATGTTCGTGATGCTTCCAAAAACGCTCTTGAGTTGCCCATCGTCATCCTTCTCTGGATAGGCCTGGAACAGGACCCAGGTCTCACTTTTGTTGCGGTTTCGGTCCTCCCAAGGTGCTTTAAAGCGAAACTCGATGTTGATAGGCGTAGTGTCGTTGACTAATTCCTTCCAATGCGCAAGGATGAGGCCTTGATCCTCGTCCTTGACGTAGTCGATCCACCTGTCCGTCATCTCTGGCTCTCTTGGTACTCGCGAGATCTCGTACCATGTATCGTTGCAGTAAGTTATCTTTCCGACGTGATCAGCGATGAAGAGACCTGCAGGAGACAGCTCCGCCATTCGCGTAAATCTCGTCTCGCTTTCCCTGGCTTCCTGTGTGCGTGCAGCAAGTTGGGTTGAAAGGTTGTAACGATCTTCTGCTGCGAGGCGTGCTGCTCTCTGTCCTCTTCGAATTTCCTCCTCGAAAAGAACGACGGAAGCCAGAGAAGTGGCTAACTGGCGGCTCAATAATTGGACAAAAAGGTTGTAATCGTCGTCGTAGGGTCTCCGCGGATTGATGCCCATGACCAAGAAGCCAAGTATGTTTTCGCCTGTCGTAGGATGAATTGGGCATATGACGACGTCTCTGCAGGGGTCGCCAAAACCTCGCCAGTCCAGCCCGTCCATCATGGCATGCGGTAGATCGCCTGATCCGATGCTAACAACCACGGGCTTGTCAGTCTTCATTACTTCCCGGAAGACGGGACCAAAGCCCTCTTGCCCTTCCTTCAAGTCAATCTGCTCAGGAGCAGCTTGATGGCCAGCTGGGACGCCTAAAGAGCCTTCGAGGAAACACTGTTTCGAACCTAGCAAGCTGCTGGATTGTATAGAAGACGAGTCACTATCATTCTCATCGTTTACGCTGTAGAGCATTACTACCGGGGTATCGAACTCGTTCTCGGTCAGTGCTATTAACACCTGATCCCAGAAGCCCTTGACCTCCCGAGCGGTGGCAGTCCGTTCGCCAACTTCGCGGAGCGTGAGCATGCGTCTTTCTGCAATTTTGCGGCGTGTCTTCTCGAAAGCGGGGTTGTAGAGACCCATGACCGTACCGTCTTGGCCGACCATGGGGATGATGGACCACGAAAAGTATGTTTCTTCGAGGAACCCATTGCGTTTCATAAACAGGCAATCGTCGTCCTTCATTGTCGCTTGCCCGGTAAGACGTGCATTGGCAAATACTCCCTTGACATCGTCCCATATCTCCGCCCAAGCCACTTTGTAACTCTGTCCCATAAGAGCGGGGTGTTTTTGCCCTGCGAGTCCTAGTCGAGACGTTAATACATGTAGACGTGTTGGAGAAGGCGATCATACCAATATAGGCTTCGTTGTAAATAGCAACGAGTTCTTCTCCCCAGTACATAGC